CCCCTGGAGAAGGAGAGCCGCCCATGTGGAGTGCATGTGGATGTGCGCACGCATACTTCCCATCCGCACACACGCATACACGAGATGCGGACATAGGGCGCACATCCCTTCCATGCACACAGTGCGGGGATAGGTCCTACGTGCATCTTGTCCCACGCAAGCGAGCCATCTGCACATCTTATCACTCGCATGCGGGCCGTCCAATCATTTTATTACATGCAGGCAAGTCGTCTGCATGTCACCTCGTGCGCGGACAGGCGCCACACACTGTGTGCACGCTGTTCGAGTAGTAGACATGCACAGATAGGCCCTGCGCGCATTGCAGGAGGCCGTGTGCCTACAGGCTAACCTGCAGCACACCGGCGGGGGCACTACCACCTCAAACAGTGCACCGCCATTGCCTCGGTGACGTGCCGCGGCAGCAAGTGGATGAGTCCCTCCTCCCTTGTTTTTGGCGCTGAGTATCTTTTTCTCCTCTCTCTTCATCGAATTCTGCCACTTGGTGCGAATCCGACAGTTCTAAAATTCGACAAATAGGTCTTCCCATCCCATTCTTTCCCACACTTTTATTCATATATTTTTCTAGACTTAGAGAGAGAAAAGGAGAGAGAGAGTAATCTAGTGAGAGAATGATGAAAAGAAAAGAGGAACGGTGAAGGAGAAAACATCAAGATTTCAGTGAAGAATTTAGTATTTCTTTCGACGTCTTAAGGGATATTTTTAGATAAAATAAAATCATTAAACATGATGATTTTGATTTTTCCTGCTTTTATGCCTTTGTCTTTATAGTTTTGATAAGTCGAATTATTCTTGTTTTCAACCATGCTATGTGAATTATAAACACTTGATGATTTGCATGTAATAAAATATAATATGAAGTTAGTATTATTGTCTAGCAAAAATAAAGAATAAAAAGAAAAAGAAAAGAGAAAAGTGGAATGAAGCATGAATAATTCAAAATCTATATCTGTATTGACATGCATAGTGCATTAAGTGTCTTGTTAGGCTTTTTATCTATGAGAGGGATCTGTTCCCCTAGCCTTTCAAGGTATCTATTTTTTCCTTCCCCATTTGGTCTGGAAAGATGTAAGAGGACCGCTCCTAATGGATGATAGCGTACCCTCTGATGAGAGCGGTAACGTGAATATCTGTTAGGGGTCACCCTTGGCTAAGTACTATCGTGACTGTAGATATCGTATAGGGCCACTATGGTTGGTACAACCGTGGTTGTTGATCTTACCATGGTTTGGCTAGCCAGAAATGGACCTGAGCAAATTATCGTATCTGTATCTGATCTGGTCTTTCCACTTAGGTAATTAAAAATCTGTATCTGCTTTCAGAGATAGAAATTG